TGTGCATGGATTTCACGGACCTAAACAAGGCCTGCCCAAAAGACTCCTTTCCATTGCCTTATATTGATCAGCTTATCGACGCAACAGCAGGGCACGAGTTAATAAGCTTCTTGGACGCATACTTAGGTTACAACCAAATCTTCATGGAGGAGGAAGACCAAGAAAAGACTACTTTTATCACCCATCAGGGAACGTACTGTTACAAAGTCATGCCATTTAGGTTGAAGAACGCAGGGGCGACCTATCAAAGGTAGTCACCAAGATGTTCAAGGACCAACTCAGAAAAACAATAGAAGTTTTTTTAGATGACATGTTGGTAAAATCAAAAAGGAAGGAAGACCATATCGACTACCTAAAAGAGGCTTTCAGTATACTAAGGCAATACGACATGAAGCTGAACACCGAAAATGTGCCTTCGGCGTAACTTTGGGAAAGTTCCTCGGCTTCCTAGTATCACAAAGAGGCATCGAGGTCAACCCCGACCAAATAAAATCCATTGAGGGAATACCTGAAGTATTAACAAGCAAGAAACAGGTGCAAAATCTGACAGGCCGTATAGCTGCCCTGTTGTGGTTCATCTCGTGATCCTCCGACAGGTGTCACAAATTCTTCAACATTCTCAAAAAGGGCAACGAGCTCCAGTGGAATTCAGAATGCATCGATGCCTTAAGAGAACTAAAGGCATACTTGTCCTCGCCCCCACTACTAGCCAAGGCAAAACCTGGAGAACGTTTCCTGATATACTTTGCCGTGTCTAAGATCGCAGTAAGTGCAGTATTGGTCCGTGAAAATAAAGGTACGCAATCTCCAATTTATTATATCAGCAAAAACCTGGTCGACACCGAAACAAGGCACCCCCACCTCGAAACATTAGCCTTGGCATTGGTCATAGTTTCACGAAAGCTTAGACTCTACTTTCAATGCCACCCTGTATCAGTGGTGACGACCTTCCCCCTAAGGAGCTTCCTACATACACCCGAATTTTCAGGGAGATTGGCCAAGTGGGCTATAGAGTTGAGCGAGCACGATATAACATATTATCCGCGAACAACGATAAAATTGTAGGTACTCGCCGACTTCGTCACCGATTTTAGTGCCAAAATAATGCCCGAGGTCGAACAGGAAACTACTCGTACCTTTCCCAGGCTATTCGACCTATGGGTCCTATATACTGATAGCGCATCCAATGCGTCAGGATCTGGACTGGGACTCGTACTCGAGGTCCAACAGGAGAAGTCATCCTCCAATCCATACGGTGCCTCGATATGACTAACAATAAGGATGAGTATGAGTCCGTAATTGTAGGACTAAAGTTAGCTCTCAAATAAGGAGCACGACGAGTCATCCTCAAATGCGACTCATAACTTGTCATCAACCAAGTCACATGGACTTTCCAAATCAAAGAGTAGAGGCTACAAAAATACTAGGCAGCTATTCATAAACTTCTACCAGAATTTGACTAATGTCGACTTGACCGGATACCTCGAGCATAAAACATCAAAGCAGACAGCCTCGCCAAGTTAGCAGCGGCCGCCAAAAACATTGCAAAAGAAAACGTGTTCACCCTCCTCCACTCGTCAATAGACCAACTTGAAGTACACTCTATAAATTTGACTTGGGATTGGCGCAACCGTATTATAACATATTCGCAGGAGGGAGTACTCTCATCAGACAAAAAGGAAGCCAAAAAGCTTCGAATGCAGACGACCAGTTACAATATCATAAACCACGACCTATACAAAAGAACATTTGGAGGTGTTGATCCCAAATGCACATGCAAGTATACGTGGTCGTACAAGTAATAAAATGATAAGTCGAGTGTCGAACCCACAAAGACTTATATCAACTACTCACAAAATCACCAATATTGTTATTCAATCAAGCTAAATTCGAGTTCAAGAGTATGATTATACTAAACTACAATTCTAAGTAATAACTAAATTATCAAGCCGTAAAATGATTGTTACGTATTCAATAGAGACAAATATTCCAGGGTTGTGATCGATTCACCAATCTTATTGTGTTCTAGTTAACTCTCCCTCTCATACAATTCACTCATGGTTGCTAATTAATCGATAATTGCACTCATAGCCTTCTCCTGAAGTACTACTCGCCTATTCAAAATAGATTAAGATCATGCTCTCTTCAATTCTTCTCTAATCTAAACATGGCTTTCCCAAGTATAATATAGATAGTAAATAGAACCTAACCGTTGGCCAGAAAATCAAGCAATTAATCACAAAATTAAAGAAGCAACTATATATTAGTGAATTGAAATCATGTTTAAGTCAACGCTAAATAACAATACTCATGGCTAAATCACAACCCTAGAACAATGGGTTTTTAGCCACTCATGATATTAGCAAACAATTTCATAAGTTGGATAATTGAAAATACTAAGAAAAGATGAAGAAATCAGAGATGTTTTTGCTCCCTGATGTTTCTTGTGTGTATCCTCCCTCCAAAGTGGCGTCCCTAGGTCTCCAATGTGTCAAAAAGTCCTCAAAATAGTGTCTTTACATGTATTTATACCAAGTAGGGTCGGGCCCAGACGAAACACCCTTTCCTGCGCAAAATAGCACTCTGGCTCTGTAAAATTTGTATAGGGCACCGCACGCTGCGCTGCACAGTGCGGCGCGGTAGTGGGAAACTTCAGAGAGCTTGTTTTTGATGCCTGTCGTGAAATTGCACTACTACGGCGCACGCTACGCCGCACTGTGCGGCGCTGTATTGAGAAGTTGCAAAAATGCAAAACATAAAAGTTGTAGCCCTTTCAAATAGATTTCCAACGATATATTGTTCAGCCCAAACGGAGTTCTGACCAATACGTTATGTGCATTTTACTAGACAATGCGCCGTATGCCCGCTCGATTCTTCGTTTCGTTCTTAACTATCATCCGTTGATCCCGAACACGATCCCGACTTAATTCCTTGGGCTTTTACTCACACTTAAAGCTACAAATCACTTGAATTCATTCCATAACGCCTACATTGATCAGAATCACTCCTACAAGGCTTAAAACACATATTTAGTACAAAACACTAGCGATTAAAGCTCAAACTCAATTAAAGTGCAGTAAACTAGAGTATAATAAGCGACTAAAATACGCAATTATAGCCTATCATCAACACCCCAAACTTAAACTATTGCTCGTCCTCGAGAAATCAAACTACACTTTATATAGACACAACCATTTTAAATAGCTCTCCTAACTCATCATACCAATAATATTTAAAATAGACTAAGTACAAGAGTGTAACATCTTCACCTCAAGATTTGACTCACAAGTACCATGCATTATTCGCAACTCACCCACTTACTCTAACATAGAGATCACTGAAATTACCTTTCTTTCATGAATCAAGTGCCCTCACACAACAGAAAATAGTAGTTCCACACAATAAAATTTAAGAACACTTAGGAACTCAAGATTGAAAGAATTTACTCACTCTCAGAAATAACATTCATATCTCACAAAAGATGCACCATAGGCTTGCTCGTAGTGTATTACTCTACTAATCGAGCTCATTGAGTCTAGGATCAAGTAGGACTTTATTTGGTTGTAATGTAGGCTGCGGGACGGGTATGATACATTTAGATATAAGAGTGACTATACCTCCCTAAGCACTTTAATACATATACTTTAACATTAAAAATCCCACACTTATGTCAAACCATGAATCCACCTTCACATTAATATATATTAACTCCCCACTTCTTTAAGCACAATTACATCAAGAGTTACCACTATCAAAGAATATTTTTCACAGCAATACAACTATTTTTTCTCTTTTATTTTCTTTTCAAGTGGCTCTTACTTTTTTTTTTCAAAACACTGCACCTTTCTCCTTATTTCATTAGTTCCACTCAAAAGCCAAATCAACCACCCCACACACTTTTACAAAGTTCATAATAATTCAAGTACTCATGAGAGGTGAAAAGGTTCAAATAGATGGTTAATTCAAACAAATGGGCAAGGCTTGTAATGTGGTTGCCAAAGCAACATGATTACATGATCAAAGGGTTAACTGCGATACATAACAATTAGACGGTTAAAATATATCTATGGCTATATCACTTCCAAAGACTGAACAAAACTACTATTTCGCTTTGGAAATGCACGGGGCAAGTTCTAGAAATCAAATACAATGCACAAAATAACGCAAAACCTTACACATACATGACACATAACTCACTCAGAATTGGACTCATCAAGACACTCTAGTCAAAGAAGTTAAGCAAAGTTAAGATCATACAACTTAAGGCACTTATACAAGAGTCAAAAATTGAGCCTAAGCATCACAACCAAAGTACTCACTATTCTCAAGACATAACAAAGTTAAAAGATATTGCTTCAATTCAATTCTCAGCACAAGTTTTTCTACTTGTAAAAAAAAAACTAACTACACCTGCTTCAAACAAAACCCTTGGAAAAGAACCGCGACACAAAGAAAAACCAAGGGGGAATTACTACACTACCTACAAAAAAAATCTTTATGTCCTTTTTCTTTAGACTTAAATCCCTCAAGAAAACTGTCTAGGAGATCCATCATCAGGAAAAGTCCAATTTTCTATAGTTTTTTTTAACAAAAACTACTACACTAATAACGAGTACTACAACTAAGCTAAGATAGCATAGAAAATCGCCCAAACAATCTTCTCACCCCACACTTAAAATTTTGCAATGTCCTCAATGCACACTAACAAGAGGTTAAGAGAGACTCCCTGATAGGCCAAAAACCGAAGCAATATCGGCTCACAAGGTGCTCAGGCTTCCCCCAGGCATCGTCCTTTGTATGGCACCCCAAACTTAGTTCTCACCATCTTACTCGCTTTTGCACTCTTCCAATGACTGCACTTCCTATTCTTATAATCCTACCAAATAAAAACAAATACTACAACAATAATAAGAAAAAAATAAAACTAAAAAAATCAGTAAAGATGGGTTGCCTCCCAACAAGCGCTTGATTTAACGTCGCGGTATGACGCAGGGCCGCGCTCACTGATCAACGAGTACAACTTTGGTCTTCTCATGATCAATTATTCCTCCCCAATAGTGCTTAACTCTATGTCTATTCACCAAAAATTTCCTTTCACCATTTAAAGCTCGCAGGTCAATTGCACCATAAGGAGTGACTCTCACCACCTCAAACGGGCCTGACCATCTCGATTTTAGCTTTCCAGGAAATAGCCTTAGCCTAGAATTGAATAATAACACCTGCTGGCCTGACTCAAAGTGACGCGACTTGATGTTCTTGTCATGCCATCGTTTTTTCTTTTCCTTATAAAGCTTAGCATTTTCATAAGAGTGCAACCTGAACTCATCTAACTCATTCAACTGCAAAAGTCTTTTCTTGCCTGCTACTTCAAGGTCCATGTTCAGCTTCTTAATGGCCCAGTATGCTTTGTGTTCAAGTTCAACGGGCAACTAACATGCCTTCCTATAAACAAGCTTATAAGGGGACGCCCAAATTGGCGCCTTATATGCAGTTCTATACGCCCATAAGGCATCATCTAACTTTGCAGCCCAATCCTTCCTATTCACACTCACTGTCTTCTCTAATATTTGCTTTATTTCTCTGTTTGACACTTCAACTTGCCCACTTGTTTGAGGATGATATGCTGTAGCAACTCTGTGGCGAACTCCATATTTAGCTAGCAGGTTATTCAACAACCGATTGCAAAAATGAGTACTCTCATTACTAATTAAGACACGTGGAGTCCCATACCTCGAAAATATGTTCTTTTTCACAAAGGCAGGTACCACCATGGCATCATTTGTTGGCAAGGCAATTGCCTCTACCCATTTTGACACGTAGTCAACTACTAGCAAAATGTATTTGTTTCCTCTGGACAATGGGAATGGTCCCATAAAATCTATTCCTCACACATCAAAAATCTCAACTTCTAGGATGTTATTCAAAGGCATCTCGTGCCTCCTTATGATTGTTCCTGTTCTCTGACATTGGTCACACTTCTTGACAAATGCATGGTCATTCTTGAATAAAGTTGGCCAAAAAAACCAGATTACAATACCTTTGCAGCTGTTCTATCTCCTCCATGATGGCCCCCATAAGGTGATGCATGACAATCATACAACACTAATTTTACCTCATTTTCTGGAATGCACCTCCTCATCAGCTGATCAACACATTGCTTGTACAAATATGGTTCATCCCAATAGTAGAAGTTCACATCAAGTAGAAACCTCTTTCTAGCTTCAAATTCAATTTCAGGAGGAAGTACCCCACTCAAAAGATAATTCACATAGTCTGCGTACCATGGGGGAGGGTCTTGGGTGATAGCAAAAAGTTGCTCATCAGGAAAGACTTCTTTAATTTGGCCCCTCTCCTCCACGTGGTCGTGATTTTCCAGCCTTGATAGATAGTCAACTACTTGATTTTCTGTCCCCTTTCGATCTCGTATTTTTGCATCAAATTCCTACAACAACAAAACCTAGTGCATCAATCTAGCTTTAGATTCTTTTTTTGTAAATAGATACCTGATTGCTGCATGATATGTATGGACTATGACTTTCGTTCCCACCAAATATGCTAGAAATTTCTCAAAGGCCCACACAACAGCTAACAACTCCTTTTTAGTGGTGGTGTAGTTCAGCTGTGCATCATCAAGAGTCTTACTCGCATAGTAGATGGAATAAAACACCTTGTCCTTCCTCTGGCCTAGCACTGCCTCAATAGCATGGTCACTCGCATCACATATAAGTTCAAATGATAAGGAGCAATCAGGTGCCACAATAATGGGAGCAGACATCAACTTCTTTTTGAGTTCTTCGAATGCCTTGAGGCAGGCGTCATCAAAGTTAAAAGTTATATCTTTTTCAAGCAACCTGCACAAAGGAGTAGCAATTTTAGAAAAATCTTTAATAAAGCACCGATAGAATCCAGCGTGTTCCAAGAAACTCCAGACACCCTTCACTAAAATAGGTGGAGGTAATTTTTCAACCGCCTCCACCTTCTCCTTATCAACTTCAATGCCGCTCCTTGATACTTTGTGACCCAACACGATGCCTGCCTGCACCATAAAACGACACTTTTCCCAATTCAGTACCAAATTTGTTTCTTCACAACGGGCCAACACCTTGCTTAAATTCCTCAAGCAATCATCATAAGAAGACCCAAAGACTGAAAAATCATCCATAAACACTTCCACAAATGTTTCCACCATATCGGTGAAAATAGCCATCATGCATCTCTGGAAAGTGGCTAGTGCATTACAAAGACATCGCTTGAAAGCAAAAGTGCCATAAGGACAAGTAAAAGTGGTCTTCTCCTAATCCTCTGGTCATATGACAATCTGATTGTATCCTGAATAACCATCAAGGAAGCAATAGTATTCATGCCCGGCTAATCTGTCCAACATTTGGTCAATGAATGGAAGTGGGAAGTGGTCTTTGCGGGTTGCTTTGTTGAGCCTTCTATAATCAATGCAGACTCTCCACCCCGTCACAGTGCAGTAGGAATTAGCTCATTTTTCTCATTCTCAATCACAGTTATCCCCCTTTTTGGGCGCATATTGGACTGGGCTTACCCAGTTGCTGTCAGAAATAGGAAAGATGATACCTGCATCGAGCAACTTGATTACTTCCTTTTTCACAACCTCTTTCATAACGGTATTTAACCTCCTCTGCTGCTCCACAGTAGGGCGGTGTCCATCCTCCAAGAAGATTTTATGTATGCAAACCGATCGACTAATTCCCTTGATGTCAGCAATAGTCCACCCAATAGACTTTTTATGCTCGCGGAGTACTCTGAGCAATTTTTCTTCTTGAGTGTTAGTCAAGCTAGACGAGATAATCACGGGAAATGTCCCAGAGTTCCCCAAATAAGCGTAGCGCAGGTGCGCTGGAAGGGGATTAAGTTCTAACTTTGGAGCTTCTTCAATGGATAGCTTAGGAGGGGTCAGAGTGACAAGCCTGTCCAACTCCTCAAATTTTCTAAACCAATGGACATAAGTTCAAGACAAATTTAGTATTTGCTCAATTTCTCCCATCATTTCGCCTTCACTATCTTCTTCATCCCCAATCAACACTTGTTCAACAGGATCTACATGGTTCATATAGGGCACTAATGATGGGGCATCACTCTCCACCACAGAGATCATGGATAGCTCTTCATAGTGGGCTGGCAACCTGAGTGCTTTATAAACATTGAATACCTCCACTCGATCACCTACTCTCTTCGTCATTTTTCCTTTGCAAACATCAATAATAGCTCGACCCGTGGCTAAGAATGGATGCCCAAAAATAAATGGGACTTCCTGATCCGGCTAGTACTCTAGGATAATGAAATCAACAGGAAATATGAAAGACCCCACTTGAACTAACACATCTTCAATCATACCTTCAGGATGAGCAAGGAAGCGATCAACCAACTGTAAGATAACTGTTATTGGGTGCGGCTCACCCAACCTCAATTGTCTGAACACAGATAGTGGCATCAAATTGATGCTCGCTCCAAGATCACAAAAGGCTCGCCCAACTGCATGTTTACCAATCGAGATTTGGACAGTGAAACTACCTGGATCCTTTAATTTCTGAGGTAACTTATTTTGAATTCTTGAGCTACACTCCTTTGTGAGTGCCACAGTTTCGAACTCGGTTAGCCTCCTTTTATTTGCAACTATATCCTTGATGTACTTTGCATATTTGGGTACTTCTTGTAATATGTCAACCAATGGAATATTAATTTGCACTTGCTTCAGAATATCAAGAAACTTTTTATATGCGGCATTATCCTTTATTTTATGCAACCTTTGAGGGAACATAGTTGGTGGCCTTGCAACCAATTGTGGGGGTTTCTCAACCACCGCCTCTCCAACTGGCTTCTTAGACTCATTAGATTTTTCTAATGATGATTCTATAGTGGCTGGCCTCTCATTACAAGTCACTTGTTTCCTCTTTTTCGACTGAACTTCTTCTAATTGTTTCCCATTCCTCAATGACACGACATTAAGGGATGCCTTTGGATTAGCTTCAATATTAATTGGGAGAGCTCCAACTGGTCTAGTGTTTTGAGCACTGGCGAGCTGTCCTATTTGGTGCTCCAAATTTCTAAAATTGGTCCTGAGCTGTTGATTGTCAAGCAACAACTTCTTCAACAAATCATTCGTACTCACTTCTACCTGTTAAGGCGGTTTTTGAGGTTGATTGAAATTTCCTTGGGGTCTATAATGATTCTGCTTCGGCTGATTTCCACCTCATGAGAAGTTGGGTTGATTCTTCCAGTTTGGGTTGTAAGTATTCCCATATTGTGCGTTCTGATTCATTGGACCTCTGCTCTATTTCCCCACATAGCATATAGGTTCAGGATTCATGGGGCATATGTCACTCATATGATTTTCACCACATAGTTAGTAGCAAAGAGACATCTGTTTTACATGTTGCATCTGTTGTGTTTGTTGCATTGTCATTCTATCCATCTGATATGACAATTTTGCTATGTCAGCTTTCATGGCTGAGAAGTCATCAAGCTCAGTCAACATGGCTGCTTTCTATTTAATTGCCTTTCGTGAATCCCCATCTCCTTTCCAGTTATGATCATTACCAGTGAAGTTATTTAGCAAGAGTTTGATTTCACTATACGGTTTCACCATGCAACTACCCCCACAAGCTGAATCAAGATTCATCTTGATGCCTCATCTAACCCATCAACAAAAGTGTGTCCCAATACCTCATCAGTCTGACAATGATGCGGGCAATCCCTGAGTAGCTTCTTATATATTTCTCAAGCTTGAAGAAGTGTCTCGCCATCCCGTTAATTGAACCCAAAAATCTGACTCCTCAATGACTTTGTCTTCTTAGTGGGGAAAAACTTGATTAAGAATTTTCTTGCTAGATCATCCCAAGTGTGGATTGAGTTCGCGAGCTTTTTCTGCAACCATTCCTTAGCTTCCTCCAAAAGTGAAAAGGAAAAAAGTGTTAGCCTAACATAGTCCTTGGAAACATTTGGATAATTGTAGGTATCCGTAATTTCCAAGAAATTCTGAATGTGCCTCTACGGATCTTCATGGGATAGACCCACAAATTACCCTATGGACTAAATCAGCTGTACCATGTACTGTTTGAGTTCAAAATGCCCTGTGATCTCAGGCTTCACAATAGCCTGAGTCATATTAGCAAGAATGAGCCTTGCAGCTTCTATCACTGCATGCTCTGCATTACCAGCCATCTCTATTGGCTGTGGTTGAACTACGGTGTCCAACTCTCTTTCTATTCTAGTTTTATCTCCGACTTCCCTCCTCACTCTGTGAAGTGTTCATTCAATTTTAGGATCAAGAGGAAGGAGATTGTTTTTGCTTCTACTCCTCCGCATTCAAGAGAAGAGTCTGTGTTAACACAAACAAGGTAAACTAAAAATTAAAACTTGAACAAATAACTAATAAAAGCTTAAGTTAGTCAAGTAGCTAAGTTTTAAGTCCCCAGCAACGACACCAAAAACTTGTTGCTCTCAAACACACATGCAAGTATACATGGTCGACAAGTAATATAGGATTGTAAGTCCAGATATCGTACCCACATGACGTGTGATTAACTATTAACTAAATTAAACCAAATAATTAATCTATTCAAGTGAATCCTAACGTATGAATATTTAACTACAATTAATCTAGAGTAACAAATTAAGAAATTAAAGAAAACAAGTTGGAGAATTATAGAGACGAATTCAATGTGAGTGAATATTCTAGAGCTGTGGGTTAGCTAACAATCCCGTTTAGTTTTTCACTTAAATCATCTAATTAATTTATCTGGTTTATTGGTTGACAGGGTTAATATTGCTTGTAGCCTTCTCCCGAAGTACAACTCACCCATTCAAGATAACCTTACGCCTATATTCCTATGGAATTAGGATTAACAAGAACGCATTAATAATTTCTGTATACTAACCAAGCACGGTGACTAGGTATATTCCTATCCTAACCACAAATCCGCCCTCCTAAGGGTTAAGATCATGCTCTCTTCAATTCTTCTCTAATCTAAACATGGCTTCCCAAACATAGCATAGATAGTAAATAGAACCTAACTGTTGGCCAGACAATCAAGCAATTATTTACAAAATTTAAGAAACAACCATATATTAATGAATTGTAATCAAGTTTAAGTCAATGTTAAACAACAATAGTCATGGCTAAATCACAACCCCAGAACAATGGGTTTTTAGCCACTCATGATATTAGCAAACAATTTCATAAGTTGGATAATTGAAAATACTAAGAAAAGATGAAGAAATCAGAGATGTTCTTGCTCCCTGATTTTTCTTGTGTGTATCCTCCCTCCAAAGTGGCGTACCTAGGTCTCAGATGTGTCAAAAGTCCTCAAAATAGCATTGATACATGTATTTATACCAAGTAGAGTCGGGCCCAGACGAAACACCCTTTCCTGCGCAAAATAGGACTTTGACTCTGTAAAATTTGTACAGGCACACCGCACGCTGCGCTGCACAGTGCAGCGCGGTAGTGTGAAACTTCAAATAGCTTGTTTCTGATGCTTGTCGTGAAATTGCACTACTACGGCGCACGCTGTGCCGCACTGTGTGGCGCGGTATTGAGAAGTTGCGAAAATGCAAAACATAAAAGTTGTATCCCTTTCAAATAGCTTTCCAACGATATATTGTGGAGCCCAAACGGAGTTCTGACCAATAAGTTATATGCATTTTACTAGACAATGTGCCGTATGCCCGCTCGATTCTTCGTTTCGTTCTTAACTATCATTCGTTGATTCCCGAACACGATCCTGACTTAATTCCTTGGGCTTTTACTCAGACTTCAAAGCTCCAAATCACTTGAATTCATTCCATAACTCCTACATAGATCAGAATCACTCCTACAAGGCATAAAACACATATTTAGTGCAAAACACTAGCAATTACAGCTCAAACTCAATTAAAGTGCAGTAAACTAGAGTGTAATAAGAGACTACAATACACATTTATAGCCTATCATCAACACCCCAAACATAAACTATTGCTCGTCCTCGAGCAATCAAACTACACTTTATATAGACACAACCTTTTTAAATAGCTCTCCTAACTCATCATACCAAGAATATTTAAAATAGACTAAACATAAGAATGTAACATCTTCACCTCAAGATTTGACTCACAAATACCACGCATTATTCGCAACTCACCCACTTACTCTAACATAGAGATCACTGAAATTACCTTTCCTTCATGAATCAAGTGCCCTCACACAACCAAAAATAGTAGTTCCACACAATAAAATTTAAGAACACTTAGGAACTCAAGATTGAAAGATTTTACTCACTCTCAGAAATAACATTCATATGTCACAAGAGATGCACCATAGGCTTGCCCGTAGTGTATTACTTTACTAATCGAGCTCATTGAGTCTAGGATTAAGTAGGACTTTATTTGGTTGTAATGTAGGATGTGAGATGGGTATGATACATTTAGATATAAGAGTGACTATACCTCCCTAAGCACTTTAATACATACACTTTAAGATTGAAAACCCTACACTTATGTCAAACCATGAATCCACCTTCACATCAATATACGTGGTCGTACAAGTAATAAAATGATAAGTCGAGTGTGGAACCCACAGAGAATTATATCAACTACTCACTAACTCACCAATATTTTTATTCAGTCAAGCTAAATTCGAGTTCAAGAGTGTGATTATACTAAACTACAATTCTAAGTAATAACTAAATTATCAAGCAGTAAAATGATTGTTATGTATTCAATAGAGACAAATATTCCTTGGTTTTGATCGATTCACCAATTTTATTGTGTTCTAGTTAACTCTCCCTCTCATACAATTCACTCATGGTTGTTAATTAATCGATAATTGCTCTCATAGCCTTCTCCCAAAGTACTACTCGCCTATTCAAAATAGATTAACACCTATATTCCTATGGAATCAATCTATTAAGAATGCATTAAGATTACAGTATTTAATTAAGTACAATGACTAGCTATATTCCTATCCTAACCACAAATCTGCCCCCTAAGGGTTAAGATCATGCTCTCTTCAATGCTTCTCTAATTTAAACATGGATTTCCCAAGCATAACATAGACAGTAAATAGAACCTAACTGCTGGCCAGACAATTAAGAAATTAATCAAAAAATTGAAGAACAACCATATATTCGTGAATTGTAATCAAGTTTAAGTCAACATTAAACAACAATAGTCATGGCTAAATCACAACCCCAGAACAATGGATTTTTAGCCACTCATGATATTAGCAAATAATTTCATACGTTGGATAATTGAAAATACTAAGCAAAGATGAAGAAATCAGAGATGTTCTTGCTCTTCGATGTTTCTTGTGTGTATCCTTCCTCCAAAGTGGCATCCCTAGGTCTCAGATGTGTCAAAAGTCCTCAAAATAGCATTTTTACATGTATTTATACCAAGTAGGGTCGAGCCAAGACGAAACACCTTTTCCTGCACAAAATAGGCTCTGCAAAATTTGTACAGGCGCGCCACACGCTGCTCTGCACAGTCTGGCGCGGTAGTGGGAAACTTCAGAGAGCTTGTTTCTGATGCCTGTCGTGAAATTGCACTACTGCAGCAGACACTGTGCCGCACTGTGCGGCGCGGAAGTGAGAATTTTCGGAAATACAAAACATGAAAGTTGTAGCCCTTTCAAATAGCTTTCTAAAAATATATTGTGGAGCCCAAACAAAGTTTTGAGTGAAAAGTTATGTACATTTTACTAGACAATGCGTCGTATTCCTTCTCGACTCTTCGTTTCGTTCTTAACTATCATCCTTTGATCCCCAAACACGATCCCTGCTTAATTCCTTGGGCTTTTACTCAGACTTCAAAGTTCCAAATCACTTTAATTCATTCCATAACGCCTACATAGATCGGAATCACTCCTACAAGGCATAAAATACATATTTATTGCAAAACACTAGCGATTAAAGCTCAAATTCAATTAAAGTGTAGTAAACTAGAGTGTAATAAGTGGGCATATCGCACTACGCGAAAAAACAAGGACAGGAGAAATTCCATATTCACTAGTCTATGGGGCTGATGCCATGATACCTGTCGAGGTCGGGGAACCTAGTTTGAGATACTCCAATGAAAGCGGACCAAGCAACGACGAGAACAGGAAACAAGACCTCGATAAAGCAGAGGAGAGAAGAGATATGGCTTACATAAGAATGATATCCCAAAAACAACAAGTAAAATGGCACTACAACAAAAAAGCCAAAGTACGACCACTCAAAGTCGGAGACTATGTACTCAAGGCCAAAACAAAGGCGAGCAAATATTCAAGAGAAGGTAAACTAGGAACCAATTGGGACGGGCCATAGAAAATCACAGCAACAGCAAACAAAGAATCATTCCAACTAGAAACAATGGAGGGAAAGCTATTGCAAAACAATTGGAACGTCGCCCACCTCAAATACTTCAACTTCTGAAAATGGACGCCCTCCAAGTCGTATTCTTTTTCCCTCGCCCGAGTTTTGTCCCAATTAGATTTTCTCGGGGAGGTTTTTAATGAGGCGACAAAGGGGACGTCTCAAAGTTCAAGTATAATTCATCGCTCGCCTGCCGACTACTTCTCTAGACTGAACGATGAAGGGACTGGGTACACTGGAACTTCTCCAATATATGTATGGAACAAACAGAAGTATGTAATATTCTATAATGAATGAAATAAATCAGCATCTTTGCACTCTACCAAGTCACTTTACATTTCACATTCGACCTCGCTCGAATTATTTTACATTCGACCTCACTCGAATCACCTTACATTAGACCTTGCTCGAATTATTTTACATTCGACCTCGCTCGAATTATCTTACATTCGACATCGCTCGAGTTATCTTACATTCGACCTTGCACGAATTGTCTTACATTCGACCTCGCACCAATTGTCTTACATTCGACCTCACTCGAATTGTCTTACATTTGATCTTGCTCGAATTGTCTTACATTCGACCTCGCTCGAATTGTTTTACATTCGACCTCGCTCGAATTATTTTACATTTGACCTCGCTCATTACTTCACATTCGACCTCGCTCGAATTACTTCATATTCGACCTCGCTCGAATTGTTCGATGTTCGAACTCATCAAACCTCGATCTCATTCGAGCTAAATTAAACCTCAGGTCAGTCTATCTTCGACTCAACCAACATCAACCATATACAAATAGTCGAACAATCAGAGGCTTCCCCACATAGCAAA